GTCCTCTGCTCTCACTCATCCCGTCCTCTGCTCTCACTCTGTCCTCTGCTCTCACTCGTCCTGTCCTCTGCTCTGGGCCCTGGTGGTCGTATGTTTCGTTGCTCTGTATATTCACCTGTGCCTGCATCACAGTCGCTTGCTCTCTGAGTGTTTGAGACTGCAGTTTCCACTCAGCAGCCTGAACCAGTAACTGAAGAGAACAGAGAACAGACATTTACCTTCTTCTTCGTGGCCAGCTCCTGCTCCTTCATAGCGAAGCATTTCTTTGTTTTGTCAATAGCCTCCCTAAGCAACTACAGTGACAGAGACAATACACAGTCAATCTGAAGCTGTCAGACACCAGAACAACAATCACAGGTCAGAAAAGTAAAAACCATCGTCTCATGTTTGTGGATGATTCATTTGACGTGATTTATTTGAACGTTCTGTGTACGAGGATAGAAACCACCACGTGTCACTCACGTATTCCTTCTCTCTCTTGTGCTTCTCCTCGGCCTGAGTCAGCAGAGCGTTAGCCTCCTGCAGTTTGGCCTCGGTCAGTTTGTGCTGCAGCTCACGGTGCCGGTCGATCTTCTCCAAACTCTGCAACGAGACAAAACACGTTTCATCATTTTCTCACTGAAGCACAAAATAATAAAATGACTCCTCATGTTTCCCTGAAGTCAAAGTTTCAAGTTTCCACATGTTGTGACCTTTGACCTCTGAGCTCTGAGCTCACCTCCTCCCTCAGGTCGCACTGGTTCATGAGGCTCTCCAGTTTGTCCGTCAGGTTGGCGTTTTCGTGGCACAGCTTGTCGTTCCTGGCGCTGTGCTGCTCGATCTGAGTCTGGATTTCCGTCAGCATCTTCTGGAAGTGGCAGGTGATCTCACTCCGCTTCTCCTCGTCCTCCCTGCAGCGCTGCAGCGTCTCCTCCTGGAGGGTGGAGGCACAGGGGGAAGTTTTTATACGTCTACTTTTCTTAGCTGCAGCTTTCATCTGTGTGATGTCGGTAAAATAACTTGTCATTGACCCACATACACACCCTCAGGGTTGTGTAGTGCGACTGCAGGTCCCTGCACAGAGTCTCCAGTTTGCCTCGAGCTGCGACGCTGCTGCGACGCTCGGCCTGAAGCTGCTGCCTCTCCTCCTGCAGGGTCGACATCTTCTGCTGCAGGACACACAGCTTCTTCTCATCGCAGCGCCGCAGGGTCGCCTGCACACACACACACACACACACACAC